GGGGGGGGTATTATAACTTTCTTACTCTTCTACGGGGTGATAAAAAAACCCCCAACAAAAAACGGTACAACTTTTTTTTAAAATACTTCCCTCCACACTGAAGTTTTTGCTTTTCAAATTTGTACACAACATTTGAGAGTCAAAAGGAATTTGTCTGATATTCATTTTAGAAAAATCCACAGAATAGTTTTGTCTACATAACGGGTAAAAAAAGCAACGCATTTTCAGCTATGTCCCCATTTTTGTAGCATGACGCACTAGTTCACACTAGACCTACCACTAAAAGTCCCATCGATTGCGCCATATTGCAAACTACAGTAGTCTAACAGGCCAACAGAAGTTTGCGGACACCTTTTCTCAAATTTTCTTTGCCTGTTGAGATCATGGTTAAGATTAGTAAAGAGCAGAGAGCTTTTTGTATTGAACATTTCCTCACCACCAACTCATTTCGTACGTTTCGCATATGGTGCAGAAATACATGTAATGTTAATGTGCTCTTAACGCCTCCGTTGATGTCAAGGGTGAAATTGGTCCATCTGTTAGGACCTCTACAGAATCAGATCTAAAAATTCCCAGACAAACCGACCATTTCAGGTCAAACACACACCATTCACACCCGTTTTTAAACGTCACCAGGGTGCAGCGTTCAGTAGATGAACCCCATGGGACTTCTGTTTGTAGACAATGTGTGCTGCTAGGACTTTCCTACATCTCAACGGTCCACATTCTCAAGGAAGATCTTCATTTACGGCTGTACCATTTTCCTGTTTGCTAAGCGATCAGAGGATAGCAATGTTTAATTATTCCTCAATTGTCTCGAATAGCGTGAACATTCCTCCATAACACTGGCATGTTGTTGTTCATTGACAAAGCCCATATTCACCTTTCAAGTTATATCAGCTCCATAAAATCTGTCTATTTTGGGCAACCTCACACCCCCCTCCCCTACTATCTCTAGAAACAGCTCCATACTGTAAGGTGTGCAGTGTGTGTGGCTTTGAGTACTCATGGTTGGATGGATCATTGTGTTTGGCCACCTCTGAACATTACGAACGACGCGTTAAAATGTGTTTAGTCCAAAGGAAGACATATAGAGCACTGGTTCTCGGAATTCCAGAATTTAAAAAAAATAAATTTGTAAACTCTTTTGGAGAAAAGAAACATTGTTAAAAGATTACAGGGATGGCAAGATTAGATATTAGATACACAAACTGATCATTTCATGAATTTCTTTACAAGATCTTTTAAATTGGTGCAGTATGCATTTATTGGTGGTTTTTATAAAAGCCATTTTCGTTTTCGAAAATAAGTTTCTTCTTTGTAAAATTTATGTCAACCAATTCCTTTTGAATGAATTATATCTGTTCCAAATTACAACAATCTAGTACAAATTTTGTGCGAGATATTTAGAAATAAAATTGTACAGGTTTTTTGGGGGGATCACCATGTACTTTATCTGTCTGTAAAATCTGTAAAATGGCAATTTGCCTTGTAAGCTTGTCAAATATTATATCCATGAGTGAGTCCTGGTTTAACCGGGTGGAGTGTGGGAGGGAGGGGGAGGGGAGCGTAGAACCTTGAGAGGGGGAGGGGTATTCCTAATCTTTCACTTTATATGTCTATAAAATGGTAATTGCACTATGCTTCCCAAATACTATACCCTGTGTGAGTCCTGGTTTAACTGGGGGAGGGGGGAAGGGGGGGCGGCGTAGAACCTTGAAAGGGGAGGGGGGATATTTTTATTCTCTTACTTTATCTGCTAGTGAAATTGGAATTTACACTGTAAGCCACCCAAATATCATACCCATGAGTGGGTCCTGGTTTAACGGG